GAAGACATCGCCGCCGTCGATCGCCGGCCTCCTCCAAACCCTAGAAACCCTAACCCTACTTTTCCCGTGCCTTTGCTCGATCTTGAGACTCTCAGACATCGCCGCTGTTTTCTACTCTCCTTTTTCCTCTGTTCGACTCTACTCTCAACCTACTGTCTCCTTTCAAGCGGCGATATACGATGTATAATAATGAATTTATTGTATGGGTTTTATTTATCGGAAGTACAGCACACGGGTCGCTAGCTGGTTCTTTGTCAGCGTCGTGCGTCGGAAATGGGCCTGGGGATCTTTTTTTGTCACTAGGAAAATTGTTAAGGAATCTTTGATAGTGAGCTCAAAGTCTAATAAGTCCCTGAGTTTTGCCGAACTTGTTATCGAGCCCTCAAACTTTTATTTCAAGTCTATTAAGCTCCTAAACTTTGGCTTTTTTTTTAATGAAGTCCTCAAACTTTTATTTCAATCTATTAAGCTCTTAAACTTTATCAACCTTCTCTATAAAGCCCTCAAACTCTTATTTCAATCTACTAAGCTCCTAAAAGTTTTACTTTTATTCTATTTAGCCCGTATAATGGTCAATATAACTATAGAAGAGAATGCTGTCATTTCCACCATTTTTAGAAGGATATAATTTCATATAACCAAGCATATGCTTATATTAGTTAAAGGAAATAATTGTACTGCTTCAGTTTCAATGTTTTACTAAAGAATAAACATCACTACACTTTCATTTATTGTTGTTTCTCTTCCAATCAAAATTTTTTACAGCATTCTAATTATGTCTTGATTATGTTTAATTGCAATGCCTGGATGATTAATTATCTACACCTCAATACTTGCTTATGGGGTGGTAAAAGACTTATAACTCTGAACAAATAGCAAGTAAATCAAAACTCATATTGGAAGAGCTTTGTCATGCGATTCTTTTTACAATATTCCAATTCGAACCTAGCTAAAACAGTATTTTGAGTGTTTGGGGGCTAAAACCAACATGGAGCCAAGTACAGCGAGAGCTACAATTTTAGGGACATAACATATTGAAATAGGAGTTTAAAGACTTATATAGAAGAATTGTGTAAAGTTTAAGGATAGTAGATTGAGATGAAAGTTGAGGCTTCATAAAAAAAAGTCGGATAAATTTAGAGGCTTATTAGACTTTATCTCCTTAATTTGATCTTTGCTGCTACAACTATTTTTTTAATTAATTCATTTATTATTATAACCACTAATTTTTGTATTAAACAAGTAAGTAGTTGCTAATTTGAGATGTCAACTTTTAATCACTATTGATCCCAAGGTAACATCTTTCTATCTACTATCTACTATACACTAAAGCAAAGACTCTTGATTGGACGCTTGGCACTTTCTTTCACGCTAGTATTGTGGCGTCTGTAGATGCACATGCAGAAGCTCAAATTTTTTTGTTTTCTTAAAAATTTTATTAAAAATGAAAGAATATATGTGATTAGGAGATAGATATTGAAAACTGAAGAAAGCGATATTTTTTTTCTATAGCTTATTCTCTTTAATTTTTTCTATAGCTTATTCTCTTTAATTATTCCACTTGTAACTCGTAACTCGATCTACCAATTAGGAAGATAAACTTTATGCATCTTAATATTGTTTGTGTAACTTTTAATTGTTTATTCTGGATGAGAGATCTACACAAAGTCTAGTCTCAACATATGGTATAATTGAGATGATAATTTATTAAGGAATATTTGATAATTGCTTTTTTTAGTAATGAATATATATAAAGCTATGTTTTGCTCTCTAACCCATCATTATTATCAAAATTCTTTTTAGTATATCATTATCAAAAATTCAAAATCTCTGTTTAGTAAGATTATTATCAAAAATCCTGTTTAGTAAGATTATTATCAAAAATCCTGTTTAGTAATATTATTATCGAAAATCCTTTTCAGTAGCATCAGCATCAAAATCCTATGGCTGTAGTAATAAAAAAAACAACCATATTATTAAAAAAAGCACTAGTTACATCATTCATATTCCTCGCATCATGTATGTATCTAGCAATATTTCCTTTTCTCTATTTAGATTTTGAACATCGAATGGAAGGATGAACTGTTTTTCTAAACAAATTAGATATGGAACCTATTGTTTTAATGAAGCACGTCACTGTATATTACACCTTAATTAAATTATGGGTAAATTACACTCAATCCCTAGGAAATTTCATCATTTTGCAGTAAACACCATAAATTTTCAAAAACACAATAACCCCAAAAACTATTATTTTGGAATTAAAGAAAATTTCCACAAAAAATTCGCGATTTGCAAATAACTCTCATATATTTGAACCGAAAAGCAATATAAAAAAAGGTAATTTTAAAGTTATTGTAGGTTGACTATAATTTATCCAAAATATACTGGCAATTTTCTACAAAAGTTATTGGGGGTTAAGTGCGATTTTGAAAGTTGTTGGTGTTTTCAAATTGAAGAAACGCCCTCATAGGACTGAAAACATTTTCCAATAGAAATAGTCTTATTGCCATCTCACGCCTCAAGTGAACTCTCTAGCTTCTATTAGAAAATGATGCCCAAACAGAGCTGGAATTTTTGTTCAATGAACATCATGTTGCTATCTTAGAGCATCTCCAATGGTACTCTATTCCTCTATAAATAGAGTATCATTGGCTCCAATGGTACAACTGTAGCACCTTCTATACTAAGAGGGTGCTACAGTAACACTCTATATTTGAAGGGTTTGGGCTCATATAGAGGGATCCCTCTAAAATACTATTCATGTATTTTAATTCCAATTTTACCTTCTCATCTCATTTATAACTTTTCATAAATATCAAATGTATCCTTGAATATAATTAAACTAATTATTTAACTTAATATAATTTTAAATTTACTAGTCTATTTTAAATAAAAATTATATCATTGAAATTGTCTTGTTGAAACCTTCAAAATGAGACTAATATTTAATACTTTTAATATTAATTTCAAATTTATCATTATGAAATGTTAAAGTACAGAGAATTTAAAATACATCAAGCTTAAAAAATTATATTATTCCGTTACCATGTATTTGACATAAATGTTCAATGAGTGCATTACGAAGTTCAAAGTGAGCCTCCCGATCTTGGATTTTCCTATGTCGAGCGAGTAATCGTCTTAATCTTTCATCATCATTGTCATCCATCTCGTCAGTATTTGAAGGTTGAGTTGAATCAACATTATCTAGTTCTTCTTCACGTTCATCCTCCACAATCATATTATGTAGTATTACACAAGCAGTCATGATGTCATGTAGTACTCGTTTATCCCAAAAACGTGCTGATCCTTTGCTGATGGCAAAGCGTATTTGAAGTACTCCAAATGCCCGCTCCACATACTTTCTGTATTTCTGAATGTAGTTCCTTTGGGACGGGTTATATAGATCCCCATGTATTTATTTTATTAACGAATATTTTTATTTTACTATATTAAAATAAACTAATTTAAAAATGACTCTAAAAATATTCAATATTAATCTCATTTAAAATGTCTCGGCGAGACGGTTCTAAAGGTATAATTTTTTACAAAAAAGTATAAGTTTTTAATTATTTTATTTACATCATTAGTTTGTTAATGATAAATTAATTCATATAAATATAGATGGCACCATTTGAGCATAATTTTTACAAACCCTCTATATTTAAGGAATCTTAAAGAATATTCTCTTCAAACCCTCTAAATATAGAATATACCATTAATTAGAGATGCTCTTACACCTCAATCCAACTATAAAAGCTTCTATTTGAAGAAAATGCCCAAATGGTACGTGTTAGAAGAACTTCTCGATGAATAAGGTTTATTGTTGATACAGGTTGTCTTGCAATTCGAGAAAAGCCTTTCCATCTATACAATTTTTTATGTTTATCGACCTACTGAATACTACCTCACTACGATATATTTATTAACGGCCGACGTCTTTCAGGTGAAAATCCAGCAAAACCGTAGTTATCTTGTAACTTTGTATTAGTAGAGGACAGAACAGAGAAACAAGAAACTAATTTGAGGCTTAACAGCTCAACGTGTTTTCCCTCTCCCCTCTCTTTAAAAGAGACCCGGAACCAAATCCATGAGCACAACAACACCAACCCGAGGTTATTTATTCCCAAAAGTTCTCTATTTCGTTTCGATTCGAGCATTGTTATTAATTCGATCGGAGCAAATAAATGGATGGAGGAGGAGAAACTGTTGCCTCGGCTACGAAGCAGAAGGTCGTCGTGGTTGGGGGAGGAATTGCAGGTTCATTGCTCGCGAGGTCTATTCAGGACTATGCGGACGTCACCCTCATTGACCCGTATGATCTCTCTCTTTTATACAAATTTTTTACGTGCTAATATTATGTGTGTTACCTCTGCATTATCTACATTATGCCTATGCATTTTGTTTGATTTTGTAATTTCCTTTATGACGGGAATAGGAAGGAGTATTTTGAGATTCCATGGGCAAGTTTGAGGTCAAAGGTGGACCCATCATTTGCAGACAAGGCATTATTTAACCACTCGGAGTATTTAACCAACGGCAGAGTTATCATATCCTCTGCAAATAGCGTGACCGAGACAAAAGTTTTAACAACAGATGGGCATGAGGTTCCTTATAATTACCTTGTTGTTGCTACTGGTCATGCGCCGTTCAATCCCAGATGCAGGAGGGATAGGATGGAACAATTTCAAGAAGGTATACATCAACATAGAAGATAGCTTACATATTAGCAATAGGTATATAATGTTTCTCTCAAAAAATAAACACGGGTTTTTCCATGTGCAACATCAACTACATTTTATGGGGTAAAACATCAACTACGATGATTTTTTTCGGTAAGTTTAAAAACACATGTAAATTTGGGGACTATCTATGAAAAATAACTCTTAAAAACGGAAAAAATGATTGATTTATCAATCACTCTAAGTCTGTAACTGCACTGTTTTACTAAACTAAACTACATTTGTTTCTATTTCTTCTTCTTTCACAATTTCAGAAAATATCAAGATAAAAAATTCGGGGTCTATTCTAATCATTGGAGGTGGACCCACTGGTGTTGAGCTCGCTGGAGAGATTGCGGTGGACTACCCGGAGAAAAAGGTCACTCTGGTTCACAACGGACCAAGATTGCTGCAGTTCATTAGCCCCGGGGCTAGCAAAAAGGCACTGGATTGGCTGAAATCAAAGAAAGTCGAAGTTCTGCTTGAGCAATCAATTGGTTTGGGATCAATATCAGAGGCAGACAAGACCTTCATGACATCAGCAGGGGAGACTGTAATTGCTGATAGCTATTTTGTCTGCTTGGATAAGCACGTAGCTTCATCATGGCTTCAGGAGTCTGTGCTAAAGGAAAGGATTAATAGGATGGGAAGAGTGATGGTTGATGAGAACTTGAGAGTTGCAGGTCACAGGAATGTCTTCGCCATTGGTGACATCACTGACATTCAAGTAAGTACAAGTCTTTTTTGCTTCACAAAGGAAGGAAAACTCCTCAGGGGTCCCCTATTTTGGGGTCCCTGTAGCACTACTCCTTCACAAATTAGACCCATGTTCCAGCGCCGGATTGCACATTGACCCCTATAGTTCTACAGGCCCCAACAATACTCTATATTATTTGCCCAAATGCAGATAGACCCGGCAATTGAAGTTTATTTTGGCTCTTAACAAAGCTAGAAAAGGTTCATTCAGAGAGCCCGTTCGCACAAATAGATCTATTCACAATAGGGCTATAGCACATGCACAGGGGGTCTACCTGCAATTAAACCAAAATTAAATGTTCAATATTGCAAATAACCTCCCTCATACTCTTTCAAGCAGAAAAGGAAATTATAATATTGAAACACAATACCGAAGATATTAAATACGTTTTACGCCAAAGTATATATTGATTCTTATGAATTAAACTGTGATCTGTCGTGGCAGGAAATAAAACAAGGGTACCTTGCTCAAAAGCACGCCAAGGTGGTAGCAAAGAACTTAAAGATTTTGATGAATGGAACTAAGAACAAGACGCTAGTCAAGTATAAACCATCGATTCAAGTGGCGATGATTTCATTAGGAAGGAACAGTGCATTAGCGCAAGTACCATTTCTAACAATGGCCGGGTCGCTGCCCGGCATGATCAAGTCCAAGCACTTGTTTGTGGACAGGACGAGGAGGAAGATGGGCCTGGAGTGCTAAAGCCCAGCAAGGACATTGCTTATGACTGTATAAGCTCTGAGCAGTGAGATAATGAAATGTCAACGGTCAATGCAACATTCTTCTTTTCTATGTATTTACGTAATTCCTATTCTGGTAATATATTTTCTTATTAGATTTATTTTAGTTCCATAAAATGAACGCAGCTTCAATTGTATTCCTAACATTGTAAGCCTCCAACTCCAAGCACGTAATGTTGTTGAGATAGAGTTTATGATACTTTTGAGAAATTGGTCCATGTAAAGAAAATACAGGTATATGATCAAAGCCGCTATATTAACGTCATACAATATATAAGAACACCCCCACTATCTACAGATCAATATAGGCTTTATATTAGCACTCAATGTAAGTAAGAATTCTGAGTCCCATTACATGCTAAGAGAAACTTCAATTTCTTCAATTTAGGGTCATGTCTCTCTCATTCTCGAGAGTAGAGCATGTAATTAAAAGTGCTTCTGAAAAAATTTAAAAAAAAATTCTATTTTGGAACCTACAATTATGAGTTACCTGATATTTGGCAAGACATATGAAGAGTTATTAAGGACCTAATAGTTTCTTCATGTCACGTCTGTCTCTGGAGTTAATGCAAATATGACCAAGACTCATACATAGGCAAATCAACTTGTCTACGTCTGGATCGAGTTAATGCAGTTATGACTTAAAACTCATACATCGGCAAATCAACTTGTCTACGTCTGGATCGAGTTGATGCAATTATGACTTAAAACTCATACACAGGAAAATCAGCTTACGTCAGGCTATACCAAAAGTCAAATCATACTCATGAGTACTCAGAGCTCTTCCATTAATCTCGATGTATCAACTTGACTACATCATCGTGCATGGATACTGGAGTTATTTACATTTTAACGTCACACTATTTCCCCTTTTAACTTTTCATCCTAAGTTATACTTAAACAATTTGACGCCTCAAAGTCAGAGTACAGAAAAGTCTACATAATTTTGCCACTAAATTTCTGCGTTTTGCGTTCGACGAAAGTGAGAAACAATATTGTTAAGCGTTTGAGAAATCAATTTGTCAAGTTGAAAATTTTGAGGTGTCAAACTATCAAAATAAATTTTTGGATATTAAAGTTAAATGATGAAAGTTTGAATACAAATAACCCAAAAAAGCAACTTATACTTTATAATGTTGGAACTCAGATGCAAGCCTTAGGGGGCACAAGTTGAATAGAATTGCTACAGTTTTTCAACAAAACTCAAAATATGCAACAAAAATAAAATGCAAAAAACTAAAAGCAAGCTAACACAAGAACACACGGGATTTTTATAATGGGTTGGATTAAAATCCTACATCCACTCTTGTGACTGGAGTTTTCCCAAATCACAATCTAATTTGATACATCACACTGGTATCTATCCGAAACCAATTAACTAACCTAACATTTCAATGACCAGAAAAAACCTAACTCTAGCTAGTCACCTTCAATTCACCTAGCTTGAGTACGCCAACTCTCAATTACACCGGCTTGAGTAACGCCGTAAAACTCACAATATTGAAATATAAAACCAACCCAAAAATAATTAAAGCATAATTAAAAAGATTTTATAGCCCTTTAAATAAATCAGTGAATAAGTGATGTTGTAGTTGAACGTAAAAGGCACTTCTTCTCATTAAAACAATCCTCTGATATCGAGCATGACGAGAAGAAGTTGAATGAGACCCTAGGGGTTAATTTTCAAATCAAAATTTCTTGTTAAACTCTACAATAGATCTCTCTTTTTTTTTGTTCTCTTCGTTGTTTATTATGATCTCTATCTCCTCTTAAATAGGCCTTGATAGGATAGGAAAAATATATCCAAATCAGAGTCTAAATTGGAGATCAAATGGGTTGACGAATGGCTGAGATTAAGTCTGAAAATCTGCCAAAACTCGTCGCGACCATTAATGGTCGATCACGATCATCAATGGTTAACTATAGTTCATCAATTGTGCAAATTCTAGTTTTTGGACTTCAGCGATTGTTGACTATAGTCCACCGATGGTCCTTTGCGATCATCGATGCTTGATTATAGGCCATTGATGCTTCAACGATGCTTTTGATTTCTGTTTCGACGATTGTTTTTCGTAGTCCATCAATGACTAGACTCGACTATTGATGGTGCCTTGTGGCCATCAATGGTTCAAATACTAAAATCGATGTTTGTGTTGATTTTGCATCAGTTTTGAGCCGTAAATTTTTCGCCTAGTTATACTTGAAATATATCATCTCATAAACATAGCAGTAGGAAAATGGAAGTTTGTTATTTACCAAACAAGAAATACTACACGAACTACATTGCACTCCGGACAACGTTCTAACATATAAAAGATCACAAGAAGAGAGGAAATATACTGCATGTGCCCAACAATCCAACTATTAAAGTTTAAAGTTGATAGTTGCATTGATTCATGTGGCTTATACTAATTTGATTGTTTGTTTTAAATGAGATTTTTATTGATTATACTAGTTTATTGTACTAATGGTACCATTAGAATTAATATTGTGCATGTGCCACAACCACATTCTACATTTTCCCTTCCATCCTGGTAGAGGTCTAAATAAATATCTATGTCCGTATCCGTATCTGTTAGATAACATATGTAGCTACTAAATATTTATATCTGATATACTATATTTATGAATGCATATAGTAGTGAAGTATTAGAATTAGTATTAAGAGACCTAATATCCGCTTTAAGATCTAACAAACATGTTTGTGGACTCTCTTGTATGATATGACTTATAGTTTCTCAACCTTATTTGTTTTTCTCATATATATTTGGTGAATCCGCATGGTATAGATAAAAAAACGAATTCTTATTTGTATTAATATTCGCAATAAGTGGATCCGGATAGAGTTAGTATCATATCTAATCCGTTTGCATCCTAGTTCCTAGCTAATATAAAAGAGTGTCCAGATCCAGTTTACACGGTACAAACGTTTAAAATCTTGGATTGTAATCGACGGTTCTTAGAACCAGCGCCTAGTGAATCAAATCACCATAAATTCCTTAAGAAATTGTCATGTCTCGTGATCAAAATCCAGCCCATTGAAAAACAAAAAATTGCATCACCACGCATCATTATTGTTTCCGAAATTAGTTTGTTTCATAAGTCGCAACGGTAACTCGGAGTTGTAGTACAGATATTAATTGTGTCACCTATAAACATCATGGGCTCACTTTGATTAAAATCTGCCGCCATTGGTTGGATCCAAAAAAATCCCAGGCTGATCTCTTGGTTCAGGTGCAGACTAGAGAGCAATCATGAAACTAGCATCAACTTGGATTTGTCGTCTATAAATACGCGTAACTTAGCGTTAAGTTCTCATCTCCAAGTTAAAAGTTTCATCTACTCATATTGTGAAAGAGAATGAAGAGAGACTCCCTATTGATCTTGTGCTCCATTATTCTCTTCTCATCCTTTTGCTCAAATGTAGATGGTCGTTTAGGTGATTTAATTACCTTCTTCCGTAATGTTGATCGTTAGACTATATATAATTTAATTCAAGCAAAACTAATATATACTTGGACTTGCTCATACAAAAATACATATTTCTTCTCATTAATGTGCTTAATTTCTTATGTTGTTTTCTTATTAAAAATTTTGCCTTGTTTTGTCACTATAGGCTGTGGAGATAATATGCTTGGTTGTTTCTATCAAGAGGGAGCTCGACCAGAGAATGCAGATATTTATGTATGCTATATAACTGAAGTTGTGTTCTTATTCTAATCACGTAACTTTTTCTTTAGATATCCATAACGATCATTAAAAAAGAGTTAAACGGGAATAAATTTCGCGATGGAGAATACGGCACATAGAATTTGTTAATGGGAGTTATGAACTAATTTTTTGAGATTATTTGTTTGGTGTTTGACTAGGGTTTCAATGGTAATGGAGATGTAGCGAGAGATTTGAGGATGGTACCTTCGGGTCCGGACCCTTTGCATCACCATGGAAGCCCAAAGAAGCCCAGAAATGGCCCATGAGCGTCCTCAACTAGCAAATATCTTTATCCTTTTTTCAAGCAATGGCCCGTATTGCTTCTACAGCTGTTGAAATATATACGGCTCAGTTCAACGCTAGTGGCTTTTCTGTTTGAAGAAAATATGTGAATTATATAGCTTACCCTGGTTAATGAAAAGTCCTGACTAGTTACTTGTTCAAGCCTTCACCGATCCTGGTAATATCTTAATGTAGTAATGCTAAAATTTCCAATTCTTTTTCATGTACATTATAGGGTTCCACAGGAAAATAAAACTTGGGCCTTACAAGCTAGCACATCACAGCCCCTCGAGTTCTTCGGTAAAATCACATAAGCCCTAAAGTTGGCAATTTTGTTACCCACACTTAAATGCCATAACCTGTCGGCCCTATCCTAAAAATCTGAAATGAGCTTGCTGGACTAGATTGTTCCTGGGGCCTAGCCAATAAATAAGGCCCAACTCTTTATTTATCATCCCCATATCGATTCCTTCACGGTGTCCGTAATCGTACTTTTTTTTTTCAAAGATACCTCCCGATGGTCTGCTACCTTCGATTTTGAGAGGCTTGCAAGGATGAGTCAGAATTATTGACAGAGAAATTACTACATCTATTTGGCAGCCTTTTCCTTTTTTTCCTCTTCAATACCCATCATATCAGTCATAACTGTCACGCTCCGGGCCCGCGAGGGCCCGTTGGCGCGTGCGAGCCATGAGACCCACCGAGTATAACGTGCTATTTGGCTCAAACCACTGCCAAAATCGATTAGCCGATATTACACTTGAGTCTTTAGCTTCACTATATAAACCTTTAAATATCTTATTCTCTCACCGATGTGGGACTATAACTTTGGGTCGGTGAGATGTCACATTTACCCTACCTTACAAAAACGACGTCCTCGTCGCGGCATGACAATTAGCACATCCCAAGCTATCAGGCGATGTGGACTCTAGAGGTAACTCCTACGGGCTCTAGAGGTGGCTCCCACCACACGGTGTAACACTTAGCCCCGCACTTTCGGCTGGCAACTGTTCTGACACCATTTGTCACGCTCCGGGCCCGCAGGCCCGTTGGCGCGTGCAAGCCGTGGGACCCACCGAGTGTAACGTGCTATTTAGCTCAAACCACTACCAAAATCGACTAGCCGATGTTACACTTGAGTGTTTAGCTTCACTATATAAACCTTTAAATATCTTATTCTCTCACCGATGTGGGACTATAACTTTGGATCGGTGGAACGTCACAATAACTAAATATCCCTTACAAATATGTGTTTGTACTTTTCATATGATAACAGTATACAAGTATCCATCTTGCAGTTTCGCTAACCCCACCTAGATAAATTAGGCATAATTACTCTAAATTTCTCATAAATTTGAAGTGCTACTTCTGAATAACGTGATCGATTCAGTCCTCAAAACATTCCATTTCATGCTTGGGCCTAAAGAAAATTGGCGTTTGCCATCTATAATTGAACCCTTGGATGATTCAGATGGCAACTTGAACTACGCAACTACACAATCAAACACAAACGCGTGATGATAAAAAAAAGTAGTACTGACTTCTTTATCACGCTACGAAAGATCAAGAGAGAAGAAGAAGAGGAAGAAAGAGAGTGAAACGTGGGTCGTAGACAGCTGTTTGCAAATACTATAATTGACCGCAGAAAAAGACATGAACATGATTTATTTACATTATTGGAATTGGTAAGCTAACCCCGCAATCGTAGCAATCGATCATGTAACATTTATTTCCGTGATTTCGTCGTTTTTCTGATGAAGCGTCCCTCATTTGTCGGGACCCAGTGGATGACGGGGTGCTATTTTTGTTATTTCCTCAGTGTTTTTGTGGTTTGGGGTTTGCTAATCTTCAAACTCGTCATTTAGTTTGGCAAATTAGTGCAAAAATTCTTATTCAGGGGGCTACCTACGTGGCGATACAAATTGACTAATATATAAAATTCAGATGAAAATTGCAGATAACCTCCCCCCATCCTTTTCTTTAGCGCCCTTAAGAAATAGAGCGATAATGAGTGCTAGATGAATCGAATGATGATTAACTATATTACTAAAGATATGAGTGATTGTCTATAGACTATAGTTTGCTCAAATTTAAATAGAAAATTTAAGTTCAGAAATGAATAATCGTAGTTTCCGTAATGGTCCTAATCTCCTAAATGAATCTTGATGAGAAGGGAAAGGGTTAAGTTTGTGATGGTAAGAGTAGGGAAATGAAGAAGAGGAATGATTAAAAAACCGTCTACTAATCTATTTATGATAAATGAGGCCTAACTGTGGATTCATATGACTGGATAATTATAATTTACTTCGGTGCAAACAATAGTCAAACAGACCACATGCAGGAATTTTAAGCAAAAGAAGTAACTACAGCAAATTACAATTAAGAAATCCTAATCTCAAATCCATTAGGCCCTTGCAAATGGAAGACAGAGGTGACTAGCAGCAGAAACCACAATAAAGGAGTGCTTTCATGTTCATGCAATAAAGGATGTTGAAAAGAGACACGTAACTATTAATAATAGTACTTCTTCCCACCGACGCATAGAACATAGTAGAATATTTGTTCTATTAAAATAACCAGTGTGAACACCGTCCTTTTTTTTCCTGTTTTAGTCTTCTATTAAAATAACCAGTGTGAACACCGTCCTTTTTTTTCCTGTTTTAGTCGTTACATTATTTTTTGAATCGTTACAGTATCCCGCTTCTTCTGCTACAGTATTCCCTTCAGTTCATGTTTGTTATAGTAATAATACTACAGTAAATATTACTATAACATAAATAGTAAATCTTAGGTTCTACCATTTATATAGAGGTGTAGAGTAAGATTTTTTTAAAACTAGGAACCAATTTAAAGATAAAACAATTATACCAAAACTACATCTCATTTTTAATTTATACATAAAGCACCTTTAAATTAAATTTTTGTTGCGACAAATCACCCCCAGTTAATATTTTCGCTAAAAATTCAAAATTACCCTTAAAAAGATCGCATTCAAAATACACGACTCATGTTTTTAGTGTTTAGGTCTTGTTAGGGTACAACTCATGCACCTTGAACTTGAATGTTTCAAACCTATTTTTGTTTTTTAGTTAAATTTGACTGAGAGGTGGTTGATTACAACAAAAACCTACTTTATAAAGATGGTTTATGTATAAATTGAAAATAAAATATGATTTTTGTACAATTACTATATTTCTAAGGTGCTTTGTAAAAAGCCCAACAATTTATATGCATGAATTCCATGTGACAAGTGTTCACCCCCAATTTTGGAAGAAGATATCAACTTCCACGAGAGAATAAATAAAAGGTACATGACCTCCATATAGACGAGCATAGGAATACTTCAAGCATAAGAAGCGTCCAGATAGGAATTGTATTTAACATTGAAAATACTCGCATCATAATAAAATGCTAGCGTTTCCGAGTGCAGATTCTATCAGAACACCTTCATAAAAAGAGGTAATATGTACCATCCACACGTTAGTACGAGAATTTTAGTTCTTCTACTATCCCTAACGTCTTTCTCACAGCCCACCTCAACTCACCACCATGAACATCACTCATACATCTCTCTCTCTCTCTCTCTCTCTCTCTCTCTCTCTCTCTCTCCTATCCCCTTCCTACATCCTTAACCTCTAGAAGCACCCATGTTTTGCCACGTGATCACAATTCCTCTCCTCTGTCGATAACTCCCATTGAAATGGGTAACAATACAACACCAGCCAATCCAATTGGATAAATCCACAAACAATAGAGCAATAAACAAAATGCCGTTCTCGAGGAATCTTTGGCCCACGAGAGAGGCATTTCCAAATGGCTATCACACGTTTTAATATGAAACAACACACACACACACACACACCTTGTTTTGAACTGGCTTTTGAATTCACTATGATTTCATTATATAACACGACTCCTGAAGTTCATGATACCTGTCAAATGTCAAAGTATAATATGAAAGCATATACTATAGAATTCAAGAATCGCAGGATATAAAACTGTAATGACATCAAGAATCATTTACTATCAGCACAGAACAAGAAATACAACGTCCTGATATCTCTAGCAAGCAAATTCACAAGCTAACATGGGTAACTCCTTCTGTAGTAAAGATCCTTGTATCGTCAAATTGAAATGTGCTTACTTCTTGAACACAACGTGGAGTACAGACCTTATGATTGCTCGAATATATCTATCTATTTCAGCCTAATTGCAAATATACGCAAGTGTATACTATCCTATATACGCAGAAATCATTATTAAGATAAAATACATTGGAAAAAAGTAACTTGTACAATAACATGTTTAGGATACGCTTCACCGTTTAATTGTGTATAATAGTCAATGACTGAAGACCAATTTCCAATCCAGAGTCATAAGAGTTGCTAGCACGTACTTTTTTTAGAATTCATTCAAGAACTAAGACGTATGATGCATAAGTGCATAACTAAGACTCGTCAACTAAAACGTGCACAAGTTTTAATGAAAAGCTCCAATAAAACCATATGCTACTTACATGTGATAGAGGTGCCAAGCAAATTTTGACAGAAGAAATATACAACAAAAACTATTGAGTGACTAACTAGTTGCATGCAAATTAAACCAACGGAACTCATTTTTATTTTAACTAAACACTCCCAATCACACTGAACCGAGAAAACTCCCACCAAAAAAGAACAATCTCATTTATATGAGATCTCAAGGGGAATAAGACATTTGAGTTGATGACCATTTACAACAAAGCAACAAAGAGAGCATAAACAAGCATGCCACTACGTTCCTATCTACAAGCTTCGAAGAGTAGAAACAAGACTTACCGTAACATGTTCCAGAAAAAAACACTACCTCAGCGACCATCGGCAGAAGTGAATGAATCGGCAAATCCAGCTGGTCTTGCAGGGATGCTTCCCTTACTATCATCTAGACCAAATGAACTAGTACTTCCATCGGCAGCTTGCCACCCTTTCACCATTTGTAGAAGAGGCTGCCCCAAATCTATGCCCAAAGATTCATCCATGTCCTCCTTCACGGGCTTCCATTTGTCGACCAGAGGAGCCAACACATTGACCGCATGACCCATTTCAGGCCTCTGGTGAGGCTCCCTAGCGGTGCAGTGGCCCGCAAGCTCAGCGACAGTGCAGATTTCCTCAAAGGTTTCCTCCGATATATCGAGTGATTTGTCAATTGAGTTCCTAAGTTTCTCTTTGTTGAATTTAACATGATAAAACCACGACGCAAGGTGACGGGTTTCTTCGGGTCGGTCCTCATCAAGTGCAGTCATGCCAGTTATTAGTTCAATCAGCACAACTCCAAAACTGAAAACATCAATCTTCGTTGAAACCTTCCCAGTCACTGAGTTCAATGTAGAAAAGAAAAGCCGGATTAGTACCATTCTTTCTATTGCAGAAGCAAAGTAATAAAGATCACATGACAATTAAAAAAAGTAGAAGCTTGTACCAGATCTGATGATTAAATACACATATTATGTTTCAAGTGATATGCTTATAGGTTTTTTTTCTCCTGTGTTATCATTAGAGAAGATGAAGCAGCCTGTAAAGAATTTGGTTGAACAAGTAAACTTACCTGCATATTCTGGAGCGAGATAACCAAAGGTCCCAGCAAGCCTTGTAGCAACGGAATTCTTCCCATCAGGAGCAAGCTTAACAAGTCCAAAATCAGAGACTTTCGCTCGATAATCATCATCAAGGAGTATATTTGAAGATTTCAGATCTCTGTGAATAAATGATTGATGTGCCAAGCTATGAAGATATTCCATTGCTCGAGCAACATCCAGTGCAATGTTCAGCCTTCTCTTCCAAGATAGAGGATCTACATTTGCTTCTTTCCAGTGGAAAAGATGTTTGCTCAATGCCCCTTTTGGCATGTACTCATAAACCAATAGCTTCTCGCTGCCATCAGCAGAAAATCCCAAAAGGGACACCAAATTACGATGACGGACCTTTGATAGCACAGCAATCTCAGCTTGAAATTCATCAAATGCTTTACTGCTTAATACTCCTGACTCCATTCTCTTAACCGCAATCTGAGTGCCATCATGTAACTCTCCTTTGTAAACAACGCCAAAACCACCGCGGCCAAGTTCCTGGTCTGAAGAGAAATTCTTTGTCACATTACGGAGAATTTGGACTGATACTACTAAATTTCCTGCTTCGATGACATGTGTATCACTTGATCCACTACCAATACTAGTCTGGAGATCACTAGAAGTATCCCGGTTATTGGCATTATCTGCAACAACAACTTTCACTGCATTCCCAGGATCTGAGGAATCTCTGGGGTGGATAACGATAGAGGTCGGTGCTGGATAAGTTCCCTTCTTGGCTTTTCGGTGGAAATAGACAAATAGAAGTACAACTGAGATGAGCAATACACCAACTACAATTGCCACAATAATTATAACGAGCTTGAGCTTGCTGGACCCTTTAGACGCATCGCTTGAATTAGATCCCCTACTGTTAGGTGAAGAGCCAGGTGAACCCCCTTCTGGGGAATCTGTGGGTGGAGATTTTGGAGGTGCAGTAGGGTCCAATTTTGGATTTCCATTGACAACTACCTTTACACCATTACTAAAATTTGGGACAGGAGGCCCAATATCGTTATCAGCGATGTTCAACATCTTCAATAGCGATAACTTTGCGAGATCACTAGGAATTGTGCCATTCAAATTGTTTCCGCTAAGTGTAATGGCTGTGAGGGAAGTTAACTTCCCCAGTGAAGGACTAAGTGTGCCATTTAATTTGAAATTTGGAAGATTAATACCAGAAACATTGTTTCTCGCGCATGAAACTCCAAACCATGATGAACCACAAGGATCATTACCCGTCCATGCATCTGCAAGCTTCAGTGGGTAGTTCACATCACCAAGAAAACCCAAAAGAGCATTAACTTCAGGTGAGCAAGCCTCCCCAGGTGTAGTCTGGCAAAATGAATTGGGAATATATGTGAAATTGAAGGAGACCTTTGGTATCGGGCCCATTAACTTGTTGTTCTGCACTCTCAACGCTTGAAGCTCCGGTAGTGCTGTCAAATTATCTGGAATGATCCCTACAAGCTTATTATCGTTGAGCCAAACTTGTTTCAAAGAAGTGCAAGCCCCAATCGTGGTAGGAATAGGGCCAGTGAAAGAATTTCCATGAAGCCAAAGGAGAGTTAGCTGCGTCATTGAAGCAACAACATCGATAGAACCACTCAACCCTGGCCCAAATTGATTGTTGAGCTTCAAGACCTGCAACTGCATTCCAGAATAATTTGCTGGAATCTCACCTGAGAGGTTATTGTAGGACATCTCAAGAACCGCCAAAGAATTCATGCTCCCCAAGAAATCCGGCAGCGGGCCAACAAGATTACACTCCGTCAAAGATAAATTAGTCAACTGTGCCGAATCCTTTAGATCCAAAGGCAATGTCCAACCGGTGCTCTCATTCAAAGGATTATACTCCAAGGAAAGGACCTGTAAACTTGTAAGCCCATTGAAGAAATCAGATGGAATGGTGTCAAACTTATTATTACCCAAGTAAGCCTTCTCAAGTTTAGATAATCCAGAAAACGATGGTAGACTGCCAGAGAGCTCATTGTTCTGGAGGCCAAGATTACTCAGCTCTGTGAGTTTGTTGAAGTCCTTAGGGAGAGTGCCGCGTAAATTTAGATCTTTTGTTTGGATCTGGTTTATTCGAGAAGCGCTGCAGAAGATATATGGCCAAGAATCCCCACAGGGATCACTGCCAGAAGAAGGCCACTTAAGAACCTCAGGATTGTCCAATCCTTTCACAAATTCTTGCAGGATGGCAAAATCATTGGGGTCTGTTGCGCACCAAACAATTGAATTTAGACACAGAAGAGTTGATAAGGCAAAGAGAAACTTGAAGCTTGCCCCCATGAATAATTCTTCCTCCATAGAAAGGATATGAATTGGCACAGGAAGCGCTATGTTATTAGAACCATAACCTCCAACTGAATGAAAAGCCTTCACTCAACAATTCAGACAATATTTCCAGAACCCCAAATTTAGCTCTGAAAGGTGCTCACTACAATTCTCGACAAGAAATCGGGAGAAGATCTTCTGGTTTCGAACGCCTTTTCTGCAAAGGAACACAATAGTGTTATCAACTTTACTCATGTTGAGATTAGAAGTTACAAAAAATCAAAAGCGCAAAAGAGAAACACAAAATGATTATCATCATGTGGAAACTTTAACTCACAACTTCTTTAGAAAGAAAAGAAAATAATCTAATTGAGCAAGATCTTTCAAAGAATGCTCAAAGAGGAGAAGGAAGAATAATCCAAACAGTAAAAAAAAAATTCAAAGCAGCCGCCTTAGCCCACAAAGAAGAAAAAGCTTTATTTGACCTCCCATGTTTGCTGTCTTGCTGAGTAATAGCAATTTGCAGATGAGAATAAACCAATTTAATAAATTGAAGAAAAATTCTTCATCTATATTGAAGTGTAAGCTTTCACTTTTGGAGCAGATTACAGATGAAGTCACTTTAAAAGCCTTTAGAGCACCATTACCATTATAATAAGGAAAACTTTATTTCAACTACAATGGCTATTCCAACAAAAATCCAGAACAAATTCCTTCACTTTTGCAATCTTAGAGTAAATAATTGGTTGAACAAAAGGGTAAGTCAAATAAAAATAAAAAATAAAAAGAAAGAAAGACAATATTAGATGCTTCACCTCCACTAAAGGAGGAAAACTCAAAGTTATTCCTTAGATTACAAATGATCCACTAAGAATAGGACATTTTAAACACAATCCAGATCTCCACAATCTACAGAATCTAACTTTAGACCAAAAGGAAGAGAGCTTGCTTGAGACTCCAAATTCATTTCATCGAAAACCCACATCCGATTATCCCAATTATAAAACTTTCAGAATAGTAAACACACCACTGATTAAAACGATAAAATAATTAAAATCCTATGTTCTAGAAACTCATCACCCCTGTTAAAAGGGCAAAGCTTCATTTGACCACTCTAAAACTCGATTAAAACGCATCCACTTAAAATACTACATTTCAAATAAAACCCAGATCTCAAAACAGATAAAGATGAGATGTTGGGCGCAAAAGGAGAAATCTTGCGCGCGTTTCAAATGGCTCTTCTCACAAAAAACACATCAAAATTCCCATTTTAAACATTTTTTATGGAAAAAGTTGCGGTGCACGAATTCAACATTGTTAGAAGGATCTGCATACCTTGTGTAAAGGGAAGAATCGCAGTCTTGAAGACAGCGGCCACCACAAAGAGAGGATGAGAGAGATAGAGAGGGGGGAGAGAGAGAGATTGGCTTTTCTCTCTCATATATTACAAATTTTTATAAATAGTACAGAATTAATTCCTTTATTAATATAATTTCCTCTTTCTTTGTGCTAATACGTGGAAGGTGCTATTCCCGTGTATATTCATGCACATGTAAATTAGTAGGTTTCTGATGCCGATGACTTTTTTATTTAGGGGCTGTTTGGTTCCTTTTTTTGGGTGATAAAAGTGGGGAAAGCTGTCAAAAATGTCAGCTTTTTGGCAGCTTTCCCCCAAAATCACCCCTTAAAAAGGTGATTTTGGGGGAAAGCTGCCAAAAAGCTGACATTTTTGGCAGCTTTCTTCTCTTTTACCACCCAAAAAAACCTATCCAAACAGCCCCTTAATTGTGACAGCGGAGAGGATTCATCGGGATTGGGATCCTCTCCTCGTCAACAGTGCCTCCTAATATTTGCTAATGCATCTTCATTTTTTATTTTGTGGGACCATCTTTCATTTTGTGCTTATCCACAAAATAAAAGGTGAAGATGCATTAGCAAATATTAGGAGACACTGTTGATGAGTAGAGGATCCAAATCCATTAAGGGTTGTTTGGCAGGTTACAACTAAAGGCTCTGCAACTAAAGTTGCATGCAATTGAGCTATTTTAGACCAATTATAACTGTTTGGTTCACTGCAACTAACCCGTTACAGTTGCAACTAGAGTTGCAAATTGGGTCTCACTTGCAGTATTTGAGTTGCAGCAAAATCGGCTGCAGTTCACACTTGCAAGACAAATAACTTTTAAGTTGTAACAGCAGTTGCAAACTTACCCATCCCCAACCTCAACCCCCACTCCCGACTCTCCCTGATCCCATTTTCATTCTCTATGCTCACGAGCATCCACTTCTCAATCGAATCTCAACTTTTTCACAGAGAATCAATGTCAAAATCGTACCTTGGGTCTCCCGTGCTTCGCGTTTCAGATCGGAGCTTGAAGATTTCTGTTGGAGAAGACTTGGCCTCTGCGAGATTCGTTCTCTATAGCTAGGGAATCAATAGGGTTTGGCTGGATTTGAAGTAGATCTCTATAAATTTGAGGGAAAACTTGGATCTGAGCATCAATCCTCAAAATCAAGGGTTTGAACATCTCCTCAAATTTTCAAAGATTGTTTCTTCATCAAGGTTAAATCTGTAATTTCTATACTTGTTTTTTGCTTTTCTTGATTTCAATTTTTTCTTGCTTTCATCCTTTTTCTCTGATTTATGGGTGAGTTGGGTATGAAGATGCAAGAAATTGGGGATTTCTCTGATTTGTGGCCAAGTTGGGTTTAAAGATGTAAAAATTGGGAATTTGAGCTTTTTAATGACAGATTCATATGAAGTAGTTAGTTTGCTTTTCTTTTTTTGGGGATATTGAGAAGGATCGTGCAAAAATTAAAGATTTCTCTGATTTGTGACCAAGTTGGGTTTAAAGATGTACAAATTGGGAATTTGAGCTTTTTAATGGTAGATTCATGTCAAGTAGTTAGTTTGCTTTCTTCTCAGCGCCTTTCCAACCCTACGTTTATCAGGTTAGTTTCGCGGTCCCCCCCCCCCAAATTTTACGATCGATAAGGGTTTTTGATCGTGAGAGATCTGTAATTTTTGTTGGATCCATTTGTGAACTCCTCTTTGTTCAAGTATTCAGTACGCTGTCGGTATTGGATATTATTATGTTTTGATAATTTTTCTATGTTTTTTTTGAGTTGTGGCTGCATGATCTGTTATAGTGTTATTATTGGAGGCTATAGTGCAGCTTGGATCATGTATTATTTTATCTGAGCCAAAGCAAAGTTAAAGGAGCTTTAACTTTGATATGAATCTGCCATTTTTTATGTAAAAGTAGTTTCAACGGCATAATGTTGTTCATTGTCAATGTAAATTTTAATCCATTTTTTGGTATTTGTTTATTTTTTTCTTCTTATGGATGGAAAGGAATTTGAATTTGGCACTTGATCCTAAAGATGATGAAATAGTCGCATATATTGTAGTATCATGTGCATTCTCTGTTATGTTATGGATGGGAGCTGATGAGCAAATATTAGACGAAATGGTTCCTGGAGTAATTAGAGACTCTCATAGGGAAACTTATTTGTTTAGAATACTTGATGATTCAGATGTAAACTACGAAAACATGCTCAGATTGACGAAGCAACATTTTATAAATTTGTGTGACACATTGCGAACTAGGGGGTTACTTAAAGACACCATACATGTAACTGTGGAGGAATAAGTTGTCATGTTTTTACATACTATAGGACACAATGTTCGTAATCAAGTGACCAGTCACAACTTTATAAGATTCGGTGAAACCGTTAGTAGATACTTCAAGGAAACTTTACATGCTATTGGAGAATTGCGTGGTGAATATATCAAGGGACCAAGTAGCACAACACATCCGAGAATATCAACAAGCTCTAGATTTTGGCATTATTTTAAGGTACAATTAGTTTTTTACAATTTAATTTATTAGTCAATCATGAATTGTGATACTAAAAAAATAGAAGTACGTGTTCCTAGGATTGTGTAAGTGCATTAAATGGAACACATGTGCAAGCTCAGGTACCCGTACCCTCAAATATGGTAGGAGCCTTTCGCAGTAGGAAACCATATCCTACTCAGAACGTTCTTGGTGCCATTGATTTTGATTTGAAGTTTACTTATGTATTTACCGTTTGGGAAGGCTCTGCTCATGATGCACTAGTATAAGATGCTATTGAAAGACCAAATGACTTGAAGATACCTCAAGGTGAAATAAAAATGTGCAAACTTGGTTTCTAATTTAATAACAGACTTCGCTAAATTTAATATTTAATTCTAGGAAAATATTATTTTGTAGACGTTGGTTACTTAACAAAGGCGGGATTTATCGCACCATATCGTGGAGTTCGATATCATCTTCGTGAGTATAGTGAACGTTCACCCATAGACTACAAGGAACTATTCAATCTAAGACATTTATCATTGCGTACTTCTGTAGAGAGAGCATTTGGTTCCTTAAAAGAACGTTTCAAAATTCTAGCATCAAGACATTTTCCCCTTTCCGCACTTAAGTGGATCTTGTACTTTGTTGTTGTATTCTACATAATTTTGTTATCACAAATGGTGGAGATGAGTTGATTCTTTCTGAAGAAAAATGGGTTAATCAAAACCTTTCTCAAGTGGGACGGTCAGTGAGAGATCAAAGAGATGAGGCAAGAGAGTGGTTGCAAAAGCGTGAGCTAATATCCAAAGATATGTGGGCTAATAGAAGGGTATAATGATATGTAATATTTTAAAAATATTTTTATGTCTTTTACTATGTTATTTGTGGAATATTATATAGTCTGTATTTTTTCACAAGTAGGAAATGGATGATACCATAGAAACATTTGAACAAAGTGGAGAATCAAGTCGGCAAAAGAGGGTGAAACAAGTTGCTCCCAAAGGGATTCCAAACATTCGTTGGAAACCTCTGGTCAAAGTCAGTAATATTATTTTTGATAGAACAAGTACGTGGTGGATGCAAAGTTGACAAGGGATTCAAAGCTCCCGTTTATATTGCTGCAGCAAAGCATATCAATGAAGAATTTGGAATCAACATTTCAGAGAATAACGCTTACAATCATTGGAGGACCCTAAAAACAAGGTGAGTTAGAATTCAAAGGCTAAAGGAGATGAGTGAAGTTGGATGAGATGAAGAAAACAAAATCATCCAAATGGGTCAAGAGGAATATTCTACATATATCGAGGTAATGTATTCACTTGGCTTATCTGTTTCTTCCTCAGCAGTAGCAAGTACGGATATAAATCATAATTTCAACTTGTTCGGTTCTGTCTTCACACTATGATTGTTATATTGTTATATTGTATAAGCAAATCCAAAGGACGAACCATTCATTAACCTATCCAGTTCTATGAAGAAATGAGTTTGATATGCGGCAACGATCACGCAACGGGGAAGTACACTGTTGATACTCACCAGTCTATTGGATTAGAAGACATGAGGAAGTAATGGAGGATGACACTGAAACTAATGACATGATGAAAGATATGGACATGATTGGTCGTAATGATTCCACCTCTTATAGGGGTAATTCAATACAATCTTCAACTCGTGGTCCCAGTGGATCAACACCTCAAGGATCTAAAGTTAAGAACAGAATCAAAAGTGGAAAAAAAAATAAAAGATTTACAACTTGAGATGATGTCGAAAATGGACACGGGGGTTTGTGGAGTTTCAGAGGTTATGTTGATGAAATACCAAGCTGAAAATGAAAGAGCAAGAAAGATAATTGAAGAGTTGGGAAAGCTTCAAAGCATTAAGCAACAAGACCTAGACAAGGAATGCCACTTTTTAATGGAGCATTCTTCCATCACGGCAGGTTTTCTTATGAGATCTCATGAGCAAAAGGTAATCTGGATCAATAACTTTTTAGATAAAATAGGTTAAATACGCTCTAATCCTTCATTCTTGACGTTATTGTATTGAGAACTTCTAAAACTTTAGATGATTGTAATAATTTAGATATTTAGTCTATGATTTTTTATTTTGGATGACTGTAATATCTTAATTATTACCTTCTATTAGTTATGACTTTCTTATGAAGTTCAAAAATATTGTATGCTTTTTTACTTATTTACAACTAGAAATTGAGATGGTGGCATGTTTAAGCCTTCCTCGAAGAGCACTTGAGGTAATTAATTATGTTGCGTCGATTATGTAATATTTTTTTATTTATCTTGACAATTGTTTTTTTTCAGAAAGAAAAGACTATATTTGTAGTTTTCTGAGCAGCACGAGCATAGAAGCAGTATCTAAAGACTCACAATCCTCAGTGAAGGAAACAAGATCTCAAGAGGTAGTATAGAAGATGACTTTGGGGATTTTCAAGCAACTGGTTAGATCTGTGTATGCGATTATTTTGCTGAGAGCCTTGCTTCCTTCATTGGTGTATTTCCATATGTCCCCTGTTTTAGTTGATGGTCTGTAATTACTATTGGTTTCTGGTTTTGTTGACATGTGGAGGTGCTGTTCATTTGAGAACAATTTCTATTCCCTTGAGTTTCAATATAACAATG